TAGGACTCCAAGCTTCCACTGCACGGGGCATGGGTTCCATCCCTGGTTGGGGAACTAAGATCCCGCATGCCACGCAGCATGGCCAAGAGAAAAGAAAAAAAAAAAAGGAAGACAAAACTTTAGCTTTCTTTCTCTTTTTTTTTTTTAATTTATTTTTGGCTGCATTGGGTCTTCATTGCTGCGCACGGGCTTTCTCTAGTTGTGGTGTGTGGGGGCTACTCTTTGTTGCAGTGCGCAGGTTTCTCACTGCGGTGGCTTCTCTTGTTGCAGAGCGCAGGCTCTAGGCACGCGAGCTTCAGTAGTTGTGGCTTGAGGGCTCTAGAGCGCAGGCTCAGTAGTTGTGGTGCATGGGCTTAGGTGCTCCACAGCATGTGGGATCTTCCCAGACCAGGGCTCGAACCCGTGTCCCTTGCATTGGCAGGAGGATTCTTAACCACTGTGCCACCAGGGAAGCCCAAAACTTTAGCTTTCTATGTACCCTTGGTAAGTTATATTTAATTTCTATATGCCTCAAAGCTCTCCTCCTACACAAGGGGAATAATAATGGTACCTACCTCATATGATTACTGTAAGGAGTAAATGAGATCATGCATCAGAAGCAATTGCATTGATAGCAACATTATTCATGATAGCCAAAAACTGAAAAGAATCCAAATGTCAATCCACAGGTAGATGGATAAACAAATGTGATATACTCGTAAAAAGGAATGTAACATGGATAAATCTCAAAAAAGATTACAAGTGAAAGAAGCCAGACATTCCAATTATATGAAATTTCTAGAAAACATAAAACTACAGAGGCAGAAAGCAGATCAGTGGATGCTAGGACTTGCAGTTAAGAGTGGGAAGTGGAGATTAACAACAAACAGGAACTAGGGAATGTTTTGAGGTGTTGGAAATATTCTAAATCTGAATAGTGGTGATGACTGCATCAAACTGAACTGTTACAATAAGTGAATTTTATGATATGTAAATTATGCCTCCAAAAAAAAGTTTTGAAAAATTTTAAAGCAATAATGTATTAAATATTATTACTACTGCTACTATGGTCAGGTGTTTAAAATGACAATAACATTAAGCTGGAAAGGACCTTTCTGAGTATGTCTATTCCTACTCTCTGAAACAAGAGTAATAAAGGCAGGCATAGCTGAGTACTGACTCTGCCACAGTTGCGCATTTTACATGGGTTCTCTCACTTAATCATCACAGGTCCTCCATGGGGTAAGTTCTGTTACAATCCCCACTTTACAGACTATGAAACTGAGGCTCAAATAGGTTGAGAGACTTGCCCCAAAACAATATAACTAATATGAGGAAAAGCCAAAATGCAAACTCAAGACCATCTGATTCCAAAGCCCATCCTAAAATTTGTATAGAATTTCATAGGTCTCTGAATAGCCTTGAAAAAGAACATAGCTGGAGGACTCTCACTTCCCAATTTCAAAACTTACTATAAAGTTACAGTAATCAAAACAGTGTGGTATTGGTATAAGGACAGACATACAGAACAACGGAATAAAGAACCCAGAAATAAACCCTCACATACATGGTCAAGTTATTTTCAACAAGCGTGCCAAGACCATTCAATGGGAAAAAGACAGTCTTTGCAACAAATGGTCATAGGGAAACTGGATATCCACATGCAAAAGAATCAAGTGGGGCCCTTACCCAACACCATATACAAAAGTTATCTCAAAAAAAGGATTCAAAAGAGGGAAGAGGGCTTCCCTGGTGGCGTAGTGGTTGAGAGTCCACCTGCCGATGCAGGGGACATGGGTTCGTGCCCCGATCCGGGAAGATCCCACATGCCGCGGAGCGGCTGGGTCCGTGAGCTATGGCCGCTGAGCCTGCGCGTCCGGAGCCTGTGCTCCGCAACGGGAGAGGCCACAACAGTGAGAGGCCCGCGTACAGCAAAAAAAAAAAAAAAAAAAAAGGATTCAAGACCTAAACTTAAGATCTAAAACTCTAAGAAGAAAACAGAGGGGAAGCTTCATGCACTGGATTTGGCAATGATCTCTTGGATATAACATTAAAAGCAGAGTCAAAATAAAAGACAAACTGGACTTCACCAACATTAGAAACTTCTGTGCTTCAAAGAACACTATCAACAGAGTAAAAAGGCAATTCACGAATGGGAGAAAATATCTGCAATACACACATCTGATAAGGGATTAACATCCAGAATATACAGCAAACTAAAAGTCAACAACAAAAGACAACCTGACTCAAAAATGAGCAAAGGACTTGAATACACATTTCTTCAAAGAACATACAAATGGTCAATAAACACAAAGAAAGACTCTCAACATCATTAGCAATTAGGGAAATGCAACTCAAAATCACCAGATACACCTTCACACCCATTAAGATGGTTATTAAACAAAACAAAAATAAACGAACAAACAAACAAACCTAACAGAGGCTGGTGAGGATGTGGAGAAATCAGAACCCTCTGTGTTGCTGGTGGGCATGTAAAATGGTGCAGCCACTGTGTAAAACATATGGCAGTTCCTCAAAAAATTAAAAACAAAATTATCATGTGATCCAACAATTCCAATTCTGGGTATAAACCCAAAAGAAATGAAAGCAGGAACTCGAGTAGATATGTGTACCCGCCCCCATGTTCATTCCTGCATTACTCACAACAGTCAAAAGGTGGAAACAACCCAATGCCCACCAATAGATGAAAAAATAAACATAATATAGCATACATATAATGGAATACTATTCAGCCTCAAAAAGGAATGAAATTCTGACAGATGCTATAACATGGATGAACCTTGGAGACATTCTGCTACGTAAAATAAGTCAGTCATGAAAGGACAAATATTGTATAATTTATGATTCTATTTATATAAGGTACCTAGGACAAGCAAATTCATAGAGATGGAAAGTAGAATGGTGGGTACCAGGGGTTGGGGGAGGGGAGAATAGGAAGTTATTGTTTAATGGGTACAGAGGTTCAGTTTGAGAAGACAAAAAAGTTCTGAAGCTGGATGGTAATGATGGTTGCACAACAGTGGGAAGGTACTTAATACCACTGAAGTGTACACATTAAAATGGTTAAAGAAAGAGAGAGAGAGAGAGAGAGAGAAAGAGAAGAGAGAGAGAGAGAGAGACAGAGAGACACAACTTAACACCCATTTAGGTGGTTACTGAAAAAAAAACAAAACCAAAAAGCAGAAAATAAGTGTTGGGATGTGGAGAAGTTGGAACCCTTGTGCATTACTGGTGGGAACAATGCAACTGCTGTGGAAGACAGTATGGTGGTTCCTCAGAAAGCTAAACACAGAATTACCATATGATCCGCTTCTGGGTATATACCCAAAGATACTGAAAACAGGGACATGAAGAGATATTTGTATACCCATGTTCACATCAGCATTATTCACAACAGCCAAAAGGTGAAAACCCAACTGTCTAGCAAGTGAACAATTAAACAAAATGTGGTCTATACATACCAACTGAGTTTTGTTCAGCCTTAAAAGGGAATGAAGATGTCAATTACATCTCAGTTTTTTTAAAAATCTTTAATTAAAAAGGAAAGAATGGGGACTTCCCTGGTGGCGCAGTGGTTGAGAATCTGCCTGCCAAAACAGGGGACACGGGTTCAAGCCCCGGTCCGGGAAGATCCCACATGCCGTGGAGCAAGCCCATGCACCACAACTACTGAGCCTGTGTTCTAGAGCCTGTGAGCCACAACTACTGAGCCACCGTGCCACAGCTGCTGAGTCTGCGCGCCTAGAGCCCGTGCTCTGCGGCAGGAGAGGCCATTGCGATGAGAAGCCCGCGCAGCGCAATGAAGAGTTGCCCCCGCTCACCGCAACTAGAGAGAGCTCGCGCGCAGCAACGAAGACCCAATGCAGCCAAAAATAAATAAATAAATTTTTTTTAAAAAAAAAGATGAAGTTTGGACACACGCTATGACATGAAAACATTTTTACCTGAAATAAGTCAGACATGAAAGGACAAATATTGTATGATTCCACTTATATGGGTTACCCAGAACAGGTAAATAAACAGAGACAGAATACAGATTAGATGTTACCAGGGGCTATAGGGAGGGGGCAATAGGAGTTACTTGCTTAATGGTTAGGGTTTCTGTTTGAGGTGATGAAAAAGTTTTAGAAATAGATAATGGTTATGGTTTCATTACATTGTGAATGTAATTCATGCAATGAATTTTATGTGAAGTTTACACATAAAAATGGCTTAAATGGCAAATTTTGTTACAATGTATGTAACAAAATATATTCATCACAACTTTGTAAAAAAAAAGTAACGTAATATACGAAAAAACACTGAATTAAGCACCTTAAATGGGTGAACTGTATGGTGTGTGACTTATATCTCAACAAAGCTATTTCTTAAAAAGGTAACCATGGCTAACATTTAGTGAACACTTTCCACACACCAGGCACTGTTCTAAAAGGATTACATAAGCCTCAAAACAACCTACCAAGGTGGCTACATTTCTTAACCTCATTTCACATATGAGGAAATTGAAGTTAAGTAATTTGTCCAATGTCACTCAGGTAGTGGAAGAGTCAGGGGTTCAAACCCTACCAGATTTTAGAGCTCCTACAGTTACCCACTCTGCTCTACTGAGTCCCACAGTGTGATAGGAAGGTTATTAAAGGCACCCAATAGATGCCCCGTTAACTAAGTGAATGAGATGAACAACTACTGTGGAATTCTAGCAGGAAAATAAATTCTAAGCACTTGGAATGTAGCCAGAAGAGTCCATCATTTATCATCTTTAAAATTTCAGAACTTTCCAATAGCGGGAATTTCCTGGTGGTGCAGTGGTTAAGAATCCGCCTGCCAATGCAGGGAACACGGCGGGTTCAAGCCCCGGTTTGGGAAGATCCTGCATGCCACGGAGCAACTAAGCCCGTGCGCCACAACTACTGAGCCCGCGCCCAGAGCCTGTGCTCTGCAACAAGAGAAGGGACTGCAATGAGAAGCCCGCACACCACAACAGAGTAGCCCCCACTCACCGCAACTAAAGAAAGCCTGCACGCAGCAACGAAGACCCAATGCAGCCTAAAATAAATAAATAAATAAAATTTAAAATTTTTTTCAAAAAAAGAATTTTCCAATAGCTTTAATGTTAATACAACTCCGAGTTAGATTATTAACACACCATTTCATACATTTAAACACCGGCAGAAGAGTATAACCTTGCCCGTGTATCTTCAATAAGACTGGAGAGTTCTTAGTAACCTCTCCATTGACAATTCTCCTCTGAAAGGCTACAAAAAACTAGGCTCCTAAAGGCAACAAAAGTAAACCCAATTCTGGTAACAGAATTCTATAAAGAAGGGTGCTACAAATGTCCAGAAACAGAGACCTAGTACCTATTCTATAGGTTAGGTACCTAGTTAGATGCCTGTTAACTAGGCAAGGTTCAGGTCCAACTTTTGTGTGTTTCACCAGAATGCTAACATACCATTGTCAGTCCTACCCTCACTTGTCAGTTCTTGATACCTCTCCTATAGTCCTCACAAGTTTGCTGATGTTGACATTAAACCATTCACATTGGTGGCACTACTCAACAGGAAGTTGAAAACTAACAAACCTAGGGCACAATCCAGAGTTCAGAAATGAATCAGGTGACCAGGCGCATCTAAGTCTACTGAACTCCACCTAGATCCCCGCAATTCTGACCTTCACAAGCAAACCTGGAATGTGCAAAAAATACAAGTACTCTTACAGTTTATGTACCCTACAAAACAAGGCCCTTTGTTTTATTAAAAAATGCACGCCCAGAGTTGAGCCCATAAGCACAACATCAATTCTAAAATTAAGAGAAAAACACAGATTTACAAAGCCAAAAGGAATCTAAAAAGCGAATACGAGGAAACTTCCCTCTCCTCCTACATGCGCCCAACGGGTGCAGGACCCACCAGACCACTCCCCTGGCTCCAGATTCTACAGCCCCGAGTGCCGGGCTCCAAACTCTCGCGCCCTGTGGTTCGGCTGAGCCCACTCGGGTCTGTCCAGGTCTGAGAGTGAGGCTACGTGCTAAGCACAAAAAAAGCTCCCTCTTGAACGATGCCTCAGAACTGTATCAAAATCTTTAAAAAGCAGGAAAAAAGGAGGAAGAAAGGGCCGCCTGCTTGGAGCTCCTCAGACCAGGAGCACCGAACCGCAACCACGCGCCAGCTACAAAACACCGCAGCCGGCCGCCCCGAGACTGGACCGGTAATTCCACCGCCGCGCCGGGCCCCGCCCCGGGCCCGCGACCATTCTGGGGCGTTCCTCCCGTGGGCGGCGCCTGCCTCACCACACCGCCACTTGGCTCTCTTCCTGAGCGAGGCCGCGGCCGCCCCGCGACAACGAAGCTGCAGCTTCTAGCCCGCGCGGGCCCGCGACGTCCAGAGCGGCCTGGCAGGCCGGCTCTTTTCCCCCAGGCTCCGGCACGCCCTCTCTACGGCCCCAAGCCCTTACCGAGGCAGCGCGGCCTCCGCGGCCCGCTCCTCCTAATCCTCGGCCGCTGCCACCGACCCAGCGCCGCGGAGACCGGAACTTCCTCCGCGCCGAGCCGCTGCCTTCACAAAGGCGCCGCCGCCTTTAGCGCTCTGCCCGCCGGGAGATGGAGTACCGCGGCCGGTCGCACCGAATCCACTCCCGGCGTACCCCGCGCGGGGGGCGGAGGGCGGGGCGGGAGGGGGGGTGCTTGCCTGCGCGGGCGGGACGTAAGGGCACGCTCTCGTCGGCGTCCAATGGGAGGGCGCCCTTCCCTCCCCCCCGACTCCGTCCGCCGGGGCTGCTGGGGGTTGTGGTTTGGCCTCTGGCCCACGGGTTCTAGTTCTTTTTCGGTCTTTGGAGTGGAGCGAGGCGTGCATTTTCTTGGTGGCTTGGCCTTCTCGAGTTTTGCTCCCCGCCAGAGCGCACATATGGCCCCGGCCTGCTAGCTTGAAAACGACTTATTTTCCGTTAGTATGAAGGAAATGGAAGGGAGGCGTCTCCAGCCTAAGACTTCCGAGGCAGGGGCTTCTGGCCCACACAAGAGCCTGTTTTCCGACCCTCCCATAGGATAGGGAAGCAGTAGTCACAGAGGCTCGTCTCCTTTTCCTTCTGATGGGTTTCCAAGTTAGGTATTACCGACTCAGGAATACCAGGTGGGTGTCATCTGTGTTAAAGGTTTAATAGCCCTACCTACGAAGGAAAATCTACTCAGTTTACACAGAGCCTTGCTAGCTCGGGCAATACACCTGGCCAAGAGTGACTGGTGCGAGGTCACAGAGGAACTGGAAAGTATCTGCAAATCAGCAATCTAGTGGAAAACGGGGCAGCACAACTTTCAGTTTGCAGCTCATGTCCAGAATCTCCTTACAGCTAATGTTCTTCAAATGGCCAGCTCCAAGCTTCCAGGTAGATCATCTACATTGTTGAAATGCTTGCTGGTTCCAGCTACCTGGTATCGCCAGGTAGTGGCTCCTCAGGGAAGGTAACCTGATTTTATAGCCTGAATTCAACATCATGGAATCGAAGAAGTCTGCTGCAAGAAAAGCCTATAAATCATTCTAAAATAAAGCAAGACTTATCTGTAGAGAAAAGAGATTGTTGAGTTAAGTAGTCTTTAAAGTTACCTTCCCACTTTTCAGACATCTTGTCTGGAAGTCATTCAAGAACTGCATGAAGCTCTTGCTGTGTGCCAGGCGCTGTATCAGGTGCTGGGGCCACAGGAACCTGAACAAAGCTGATAAACTTTGCTGCTCTGGGGACTTACCTGGTGGTCCAATGGCTAAGACTCTGCCCTAGCAATGCAGAGGGCCCGGGTTTGATCCCTGGTCGGGGAACTAGACCCCACATGCATGCCGCAACTAAGAGTTTGTGTGTCGCAACTAAAAGGATCCCACATGCCACAGCAAAGATCCCGCGTGCCACAACTGAGACCCGACACAGCAAAATAAATGCTTAAAAAAAAAACAAAACCAAAACTTTGCTGCTCTGGTGGAGATGGGAGTGGGGGTGGTTACTGAAGACAGACAACAAACTAAACAAGATATACAATCTCTGCTGAAATGAGTTTGGTTTCTGTAAGGAGGGAGATGGAAAGCTGTCGGAGGGCTCTAAACAGAATAATATCATGGCTTCCGTGTAACCGGGATCCCTCTGGCTGCTGTGTAGAGAATAAACTGAAGGTGGGAAGGGCAGAAGCATGCCAGCTGATTAAGAGACTGTTGCGGTAATAAAACCACAGAAGGATAATACTTGTACCTATGTGGCCACAGTGGAAACAGGAAACATGGACTGGGGTGAGGGGAAAGAGGGAAGAATGTCAGAGGAGCAATTTTGGTAGGAAGAGCAGGAGCTCAGTTTTGGGTAGGTTGTTTTTTTGTTTGTTTGTATTTTTTGCGGTACGCGGGCCTCTCACCATTGTGGCCTCCCTCATTGCAGAGCACAGGCTCCAGACGCGCAGGCTCAGTGGCCATGGCCCATGGGCCCAGCCGCTCCGCGGCATGCGGGATCTTCCCGGACCGGGGCACGAACCCGCGTCCCCTGCATTGGCAGGTGGACTCTCAACCACTGTGCCACCAGGGAAGCCCTGGGTAGGTTGTTTTTGATGCCTAGTAGACAAGATGTGGAGTTGGCAGTTGGCTACATGAATCTGGAGTTCAAGGTAAAGGTCAGGGTTAGAGATGCAAATCTGGGAGGTATCAACATATCGCTGGTGCTGGTATTTAATGACATGGGCCTGGATGAGCTGACCTAGGGAATGAAGGAGTGAGAATAACCGGAGAGCAGAGTTGCAGCCCTGAGGCCTGGGGCACACCAGCACTAAGAGGTTTCAGGGAAGAGGAGGAACACCTACACAGAGCTGTGGGTACTTTGACTTTGCTTCCCAAACTGGGCCATTGTTGGTGGTTCTTTCCCTTATCGGATAGTACTTTGTCCTCTAAGGAGGTAAACGTATGAAAGAACTAATTAGTTTTGCCTTATGCCCAAGCTCCTTGGGCAATAATAATTGCTACCCTTTATCACAACTCTTTGCCTGGCCTTGTGCTGACCTTTCATTATCTCATTTAATCTTCACAATAACTGTATGATATCCCCTTTTGTAGTTATGGAAACCAAAGCCCAGAAAGATTAACTTGCTGAAGCTGGAAAGTAGAGGGTGGGGGGATTCCAACCCAGGTCAGTCCTACTCCAAGGCTCATGCTCCTGCCTACTTTCCCCTTTTCCTTATGGTGATTATTGAGTTTTCAGAGGAAGCATCTAGAATTTTTTTTTTAACTTACATTGGCCCATAGTACTTGTAAGGTTGTTTATATTGCCTAAGACCAGGAATATGAGTATTTAGAATAGCTGACCCAGAACAGCGCCCTCGCCCAGAATGGGGAGCACAACGTCCAGCTGCAGAGGTAGCTTGACTCACTTTCAGCCCCTAAATTCTCACATGGAAGAACCCAGCAAAGAGGAAGACTGTTGTGCTGCCTGTTGTTCTTTGTTGCCTTGGTCACACTTGGGACCATGACTCTTCAGCATCGAAAGTAGGGACTTGATCAAATGTTAAAATGAGAGACAGGAACCAGGAGAGATACAGATAATACAAGGGCCACAGAGGAAATTTTCCAGCAGAGCAGGAAAACCAGCTGCCTTACCAGGAACTGCAAAGTAATAAAAACAGGAAGGAAAACCTCATCAAAATTTCCAGGGAAGAACTGACTATTCTTTTTTTTTTAATTAATTTATTTATTTTATTAATTTATTTTTGGCTGCGCTGGGTCTTTGTTGCTGTGCGCGGGCTTTCTCTAGTTGCGGTGAACGGGGGCTACTCTTCATTGGAGCACGTGGGCTTCTCATTGTCGTGGCTTCTCTTGTTGTGGAGCACGGGCTCTAGGCGCACAGGCTTCAGTAGTTGTGGCACGTGGGCTCAGTAGTTGTGGCTTGCGGGCTCTAGAGCTCAGGCTCAGTAGTTGTGGCGCACGGGCTTAGTTGCTCCGTGGCATGTGGGATCTTCCTGGACCGGGCTCGAATCCGTGTCCCCTGCATTGGCAGGCGGATTCTTAACCCCTGCGCCACCAGGGAAGCCCGGCTATTCTTATTATTAGCTCAGAATACTTCATATTATATAATCTTGTATTTGTAGGAGGGAGAAACTGCTGAAGATGCTGAAAGAGTCATTTAAAAATTTGACCTGAGTCACACCAGCAAGATAGCAACAGGGCTGGTAACAGATCCCAGCCTCAGGATACAATCGGGTCTTTTCACTTCAGCTACAACATTTTCACAGCACCTCAGGTTCTGAAATGTCCACTCAAGCTATGAAAGAAAAGACATCTGGGGAAGAACAGAGGTCTTATTACCTTTGCTCCAGTTCCAGCTAGTCCTCACCACTGCCCAAGGCTAATCCTCACTCAAAGCCCAAGGCTTGAAGCAGCATCATACAGGGCAGCAGAGCCATCACAGAATTGACATGTATTATTATTCCAAAAGACCTAGATTTATTTCCTGGTAATTCTATCAGTAAAAAGTGACCTTTAGGGCTTCCCTGGTGGCACAGTGGTTGAGAGTCCGCCTGCCGATGCAGGGGACACGGGTTCGTGCCCCGGTCCGGGAGGATCCCACATGCCGCGGAGCGGCTAGGCCCGTGAGCCATGGCCACTGAGCCTGCGTGTCCGGAGCCTGTGCTCCGCAACGGGAGAGGCCACAACAGTGAGAGGCCTGCGCACCACAAAAAAAAAAGTGATGTTTAGGAAGGGTTGTCCCAATATTCAAATATAGGTCAATAGGTTGACTTAAACAGAGTTTTACATCACAACCTTAAAACGTTTCGTAAGTAGCCACAACGGTTTGCTCTGAGTGTCCTAGGCTCAAGAGTTAGCCAGAAGCCCATGGGGTAAATGGCCACTTGCTTGGCTAAGGAGATGCAATACTTCCAAATGACAGTGGTGCTATCTGTTTGAGCTGATGTGCTTGAAAGCAAGAGTGGGACTCAGATAAGCCCTGAGGTCACGTGGAGACTGTTGAGGAGATTGGTTAGGTATGTTAAAAAAACTTTAAATTTGTCTTCTATAGGGATCAATTCTATGGGCTGCAGCTTCTGGTTAATGGAATGTAGCCAGGATATTTCTGTATCAACCAGAGAATATGAGACCTTCTTGGCTTGAACTCTCATAATGTAATATGGCAGGATTAATGAGAGTAAAACTATATAAATGCTATTTACTCTAAGGGTGGGAGCCTGTCCTGCTGAGCTAGTAAGGAGAGAAAATACTGAGTGACCTGTGGAGACTGGGAGAGACTCCTCTCTCCTTCCCAGGGGAAAAGATAGTTAAGGAATTCGGCATTTTCTCACATGTTCTTAACTATCAATAAAAGGGAGGAGAAAGCTCCCCTTAAACTATGTGCGAAGGTCTAAGTCCTGTGCAAAGCCATCTCCGGTAAAAGGCCACAGCTTTGTCACAATGTCAGTCACAGTCCAGTGTTGTGGAGGTAGGCTCCAAGTGGCAGCTGTCTGAGACTATGAGAAAAGCCCAGGGGCAGAGCTCTCCCTCAATTCCAGTGTAGGACTGAGATGGAGACAGAACACTGCATTGGGGTGTTTGGAGCAGCAGAGAGAATCAAAGGAGTGACTTCATACTTTT